ATTGCTTAGTTAGCATAAGACTAAATTGGTAAGTGAGTAAAAAGAAAAAGGATGTTGAGTTAAAGAAAATATTAAGGAAGTGAGAGAACAGAAGGTCCTCATATTTATCAAAGAAGCCCAACCCAACATCACATCAGAAGCAGAGGTCTCAAGAAGACATATTATGTCAATTGCCTTTGGAACAGAAAACAGCATCTCCAAGAAACCTCAAATTCTCCCAATCATCACCTCCTAACTGATCAATGAGGCAAGTGTGTGATGACAGACTCCCCCCAACCCAAAGGAGGCAAGATCAAGTTCTAAACTGGCACGGAATGAAAACATCCTTCATTCACAGGCACAGCCTACCTATGTCAGAGGCAGCAAGGCTACGGGGGCTCACTCGCCACGTGAACAGGATGGAGGTGAGTCCACCTATGAAGACAGCCTATAAATGGGCTTGATCATTTCAGGAGTCTAAGAAGTCACCACTGCATGCAGCAGGGATGGAGCTGAAACCTGTGCGCCCAGCACCACGGCACAGCCCCCCAGGGCTTCCACACCCACCAATATAAATGCATGCAGTCCACGTAGAAAGGTGGTCCCCATGCCCTGCATGGAGGGCCCACTGCATGAAATGCACTGTTCCATTATCAGTGACTGGACCAAGCACCCTTCATTCATTCTTTCATTCATTCATCAAGCTCAAGAGATAAAAAAAAAAAAAAGCAGAGAATCAACAGTTGACCCCCTTCCCACCATGGCTATGGAGCATTCCATTAGACAGGTGTACTGTAAATTGCTTAGCCATTCACTGGTTAATGCACATTTGGGTTGTTTACAGACTTGGGCTATCGTTCATAAAGCTATTATAAGCAAACACAAAGAAAAAAACTGCAGAGAAGCAGGTGAAGGTTCAGTGGAAGCATATGATAAAAATCATTGTTGGCATGTGGGTCAAAGGAGGTGGTTGACCCAGCCTGGGAAATATCACACCCCTGCAGTGAAATGTGCTGAAGTCTGGGAAGATCAAGATCAAGTAGGTGGATTTCCTCCCAACAGGCTGCTTGTAAACATGTCTCCAGGCAACGAGAGCACTGGGCTAACTGTAAAGCAGTGACAATAAGGCTCATAAAGCTGAGAGGAAAGGGGTTAGGACTCGACTGAGATCATCCAAAGAGCAAATATTTATTGAGCATGTCAAGTCAGATGTAAAGTATCGTGTGACAAGACAGTCTCTGTCCTCAAGGTGCTCGGGGTCTAGGGTGGAAGTCACACCACCAGCCATGACGCTCAGCACCAAAAGGAAACACAACAGGTGAAAGGACAAATGGGTGGGGACTCAAGTCTAGTGTGGGGCGTGGGAACAGCACAGCCCTTCCCAAGAGGCCAGAGGTAAACTGAGGCAGCAATGCTGCGGGGGCTTACTTGCCACATGAACAGGATGGAGGTGATTCCCCCTGTGAAGACAGCCTATAAAATGGGCTTGATCATTTCCCATTTCATGTAGGTAAAACATTGCTGATATTCTGTAATGTGTAACCAAAGAGTCACTCTGTTGCCACAATCATCTACATGAATAGCAGAAGAAGTCATTATGTAAATTTCAGAAGAAAGGCACAATACTGTTGTTTTAAAAAAGGAAATAGAAATTGGAGTATTGGTGAATCATTCAGAAGATCTAGACCCCTGTAGGGAACTCAGAATCATCTAGTTCCAATTGCTATCATTGTGAATATGTCTAAGTCAGTCAGAACTGAAGTGAATGAGAACTGTCATTGTGATTCAGTGGACTGAAAATCAGAAGGTGGGCTTCTTCTGCCCACCTCTGCAACCACTGACAATCTCTGTGGCTTTCTTTCAAGCGAGAAATCGCTTGACTTTCTCACCCTGTCTCTTCATCTGAAAATAAGAGGCTGGATGAAGACAACAGTTTTTATAACAGTCGTCATTTTAAAATGACAGTGCATAGCGAAAGTTGGTATTTCACATGGTGACTTGGTATAATACTTATGTTTATTATTTTTTAATACATTTACTATTTCTTAATCGTATTATAACCCATTTCTTTGAAATTTAAAAAAAAAGCTGGTTAGATCCACAAGATAATTCCACGTTTCATAGGTTGTGACTGGAAGTTTGAACAATTTCAGGCCAGGTCATATCTAAGGGAACCTCCCACCCTGATTCTGGAACTTGTCAAAATGATCACCTAATATTTAGTGTCTCACAGTTTTCCAAACTGATTGCACAGGACTCTCCCAGGATCCTCACAGCAGTGGTGCAACATGGGGAGAGGGGCTAATGAGAGTCATCACAGATCAGAGGGCGAGATCACAACATTGCTGGTGGCAGACTCTGTGACTGCACAATGGCAGCGATGCCCGCCCTGTTCAGTAGCTCTTCTCTAGGAGAATTCCATCTCCTGATGACCCTCTGCCCTCAAGCTTCAGCTTAAATGCCTCGCCCACTAAAGCAGGAGGCAAAACCAGTGCACATGTTCCAAGAACGTAATGTTAGTCTTCATGGTCACGCCCTTGTTACTGCCTTCAGGAACTGCCCAGTGCCAGCCACAAGCACAGGAAGCTTGGTCCCTGCCCTGGAGGAGCTCCAAGTCTAGCAGAAAAGAAATCCACCGCAGGGCCACCCACTGTGGATGTCTCCCTTTCGAAGCCACACTTCTACTGTTTTCTTAGTAATAACCTCAGTGGTTCTGTTGAACTCAGCAAGTCTCCCCATCTGGCTGATGGAAAGTGCCAAGCTTTCAAGCCTTCCCTGGAGACTGCCTGAGCCCTGGACGTCAGCAGGACAGCGAGAGGGTGGCACCCCAGGAGGAAATGCGGGGCAGTGCCCAGCAGGGTTCTTCCGCCACTGTCTCCCTTCCCTCCCCAAGGGCAAATGGGGCAGGCCACAGGATCTCTCAGCATCACTCGAGACACTCTTCTCAGCCCAGACTAGCATCAGCTGACTTCAAGGATATACAAAAACTCTTTTAACATCATGAAAAGGTCAGGTCCCTAGATTTATGGATAACGTCCCATTTATCCTACTTAGGAGGAAAAAAAAATTTACATCAGGGACAAAGGACAAGGGCAAGAATGCCTTCAGGAAACCATAAACCTAAGGCTAAAAAAAGACATTCAAGTCCTTCTTTCATTTTTTTTTGAAACTATTCATAAAAATTAAGTGCTAATTTGAATATGCTAGTCCTTCTAAAGCTATTATTGTTAAAACAACTGGAGTCAGTAGTGGGAATTTATTATTTTGCTTTCCAGTATCTACCCTTTCTCCCTCAGATGACAATACACAGATTTACTTGGGGTGGGGTTGGGTGTTATTCTAAACCAGCTGCTATGGGTACCCCTAACCTAAACTCCATCTTTAAATTCAGGGGTGAATGCTGACTGACTTAAGTCATAGTAATCAGTTTGAGAGTAGAAGGAAGTCCAATTAGAGTCCATGGGACAGAAAGACTCCTTTCCTGAGCCTTCAGAGAAAGTGTCCTTTCTCTTCTACAGGAGCTACCAGAAGCCAGTGCCTTTCCATCTCTAGATGGTGTGATGTGAGAACAGGAGATCAGGCCTGTGGCAGCAATGGGGTGAGAGACTCTCTGGGATGGAATCTGAAGATGCAGCTGAAAACCAAGAGCCGAGCAGGCAGCCAGAGAACCTGCATCTGTAAGGATGCGGTCTGGACTGCTGAGTCAAACTTGCCTGCAGTGCTTTCTTCCTCTGGACCTCTCGTTACAGAGGGTTTATTCACTAAGCTAGTTTGAGTTTCCTAACACCTGCCAAGAAAGTAAGTCATAATTCATAAAACACCTTACCTATCCCAAAGTAGTAATATGCAAAGGATTTAGGGTTTCTTGGAGGGGGATAGCAGGGATCATGGTGTGATGGGTGGAGGTTGAGAGTGAAATTTTCTTTCTTAGCTTCTTCTATTTATTCTGCAGGAAACAATACTTAGCATCTAAATAATTGTTCCTATTTCTCAAAAACACCTTTTCCACAACTATTTCCTCACTTGAATTTCACAATCCTGATTCAAGGAACTTATAAAGAATTTTATCTTGCAGTAACTGCTTCTTTACCAAGCACTTTATATACCGTCGAAATCAAACTCAGTAATTCATGATTGACACAATAGCTGAATGTGGGTAGGCATGGTGGGTCTGTCATAACATCCACTTTAAGCAGGAGAAAGTTGAACCTCAGAGAAATCAAATGAGAGGCCTAAGTTAACATGAGGCGTTTTGGGAGACCGGCCTTAAACCCAGGTCTCTTGATTTTAACATCAATGATACTAAACTCCACTCCCAGAAACAAATGTGTGTGCTCTTAAGCACTGTGTCAGCAGTAGGCTGAATCTGACCCGAGCACCAGAGACCCAGACCCAGATTTCAGTGGCAGAGTCAGAGCTAACTAGCTGGTGACCTTGGTCAAGTTTCTTTTGCCTTGTTTTCTCATTTGTAAAGGGAGGGGTTTGAATTAGGATCTCTGAGGCCTTTCCAAGGTCTGAATGTTCCATAATTCTAGACTTTCTTGTCCTGGCTCAAATTAAAAATCTTTTTCTCAGAGTAATTATAACCTTAGCTGATATTTGTTCTCATTGGGTGTCAGGGACTGTGCTAAGAACATTATCTCTGTTTTCTCGTTAATCTCACAACACTCCCAACCCAACTGTATTGCTTTTACAGATAAGGAAACTTGGACGGCCAGAGGTTCAATGAATTGCCCCAAATCAACAGAATCAGCAAGCATCAAGGCGAGATCTGACTCCAAATCCGAATGGCTATGAGGATCTCAACCTAGTCTATATTTGTTCGTGAAGAAATCAGGCTCCCGCATTATTGGTGACCTCTTTCCAAGCAGAAGAGGGGCGCTAAAAAGCCAAACCGAGGCACACCAAGCTTCCCCTGGAAGGGCGTCTGGGAGGCTCCTCCCGGCGCCCCGGGGGCGGGGCGCCCATCCCGCCAGCCCCGGGCGAGCGGCTTGGGCCCTCCTACCCTCCCGGCCGGTTACCTTGTTGAGATGCGGGTTCCTGGTGACATCGTATCCCCGCTTCTTCAGCGGCACAGGGCGCGCCGGGCGGGCCTTGGAGTGGCAGCCTCGGGCGGGCGTGGGGGGCGCCCAGCTCCGGACAGCGCCGCAGGCCCGGCCGGGCCGGAGAGTCAGCCGCGCGCCGGTGCCCAGCGCGGCGCCCATGGTCCTGGCGCAGACCTGGCACGGGGAGACAACAAGGTCAGGGGGGCCTTCGGGCCGGCCAGGACCCGCTCGCGCCGGGGACGCGTGCGCGCGGAGAGGGCGGGGGTCCCGCAGGGGCTCAGGCGCCCCCCTCCCCCGCGGCCACCCGCGCGGCTCTCGAGGCTCGGCGGCGGGGCTCAGGCCTGGGCGAGCCGGGGCGAAGCGAAAGCAAGCTCAGGAAGCAGATCCGGTGCGGGCGGCAGCCCGCGCCTCGCCCGCCTCCATCCCCGCAGAGAAGCAGCGGCGACTGCGCGGCGAGGAGGGTCCCCGAACCTCCGAGTCCGCTTGATGGCGCGCCTCGGTCCCCTCCGCTTCTCCAGCCCACCTGTGCTGCGCCGGGAGCCGCTGTCTACGCGGCCCCGCTGCGGGGCAGGCGGGGCGAGACGCTGCGGGGCCGTTATTCCCCTCTCGCCAATGGCTGGACCGCGCCGGCAGCCGCGAGAGCGCGGAAGCGGGTGCGCCCTGGAAGGCGAGTCCCCAAACCTCTGCGCGCCATGCGGGGCTTCCCCGCGGGCGCCGCGCAGACGCGTGCACGTGCCTCAGCGCTGATTATAAAGGAAGCTCGCGATGCGTTCCGAGCCTGTCTCTCTAGACAAGGCGAACGCACAAAGCGGGCTCAGCGTTTAGGGCTCAGCCCCGGCATTTGGGGGAGAAGGCCCTTGGCTTCCGCACAAGGAGTTAAAACCCTCAGGCACCCAGCTCGGTGTTGCCTTGGGCTGCCAAGTACATAGCCGTTAGCTTCACGTGGCTCTATACCTTTAAACAAGCTACTTTAAATGGAGTAATATTTAAAGTCTAGTTCCTTAGGTGCACTAGCCACGTGTCACAAGACCAAAAGTCACCTGTCCATAGTAGCTTTGGGCCTGACAGAGGAGCCTGGCAGGCCACAGTCCGTGGGGTCGCAGTCGGACACGACTGGGGGACTCAGCACAGCACAGCACGGATAACGGAACATTTCCATCTTTGCAGAAAGTTCTAGCGGACAGCGCTAATACAGGGTCACCAGTTACTAAGACATGACTTGTTGGGGCCAGATAAGAACCTTGGGGGTCTATCTCAATACTGAATTAATGGTAGATGTTTTCCACAGAGTAACCAGGAAGTCCCTTTTCAACACGAACTTTTCAGTGGGTGTGAAGTAAAACCCAGACTCTCTTTGGTGCTCATGTGTTATCCTCTAGTTATCCTCGCTGCTGCGACTTCCTCATTCTACTCCGGTCTCCCTCTCACTGAGCTCCAGCCACACAGACTCCTCCCTGTGTTTCTGCCCCGGGGCTAGCTCCCTCACACCTCAGGGCCTTTGCACTTGCTAAGAGCTTGGAATGCTCCTGCTCTCAAGTCTCCACTAAATTTTCAACTGGAACACCTTTCCTCCACTCCATCCAGTGTCAGCCTCCAGTAGGTCGTGAAGGAATTTGTCCTTTCTTAAAACTTAACACAGCCAGTAATTAGCTTGTTTTTCTAATTGTTTATTGTCTGTCTTCCCTTAGAATGTAAGCTTCATGGGGAAAGGCTCTTTGCCTGTAAACCCCTGTATCCTCACTTCTAGCTCAGTGCCTGATACATTTGTTGTTGTTGTTTAGTCACTAAGTCATGTCCGACTTTTGCCGCCCTATGGACCGTAGCCTGCCAGGCTCCTCTGTCCATGGGATTCTCCAGGCAAGAATACTGGAGTGGGTTGTCATTTCCTTCTCCAGGGAATTTTCCCAACCCAGGGATGGGAACTGTGTCTCCTACTTGGCAGGCAGAAGACGCCTGGTAAGCCTGGGAAGATGCCTGGTACATAGTTGCTTAATAAATAGCTGTTGGGTGAAGGAACAGAAGTGACAGTCACTTTCCTGGACTGTGCACCCTCAGATTGATGGACAGGTGGGGTGGTCCTCTACACTCCCCTTCAAACCTTCCGTGTAAGCAGCCTTCAGAATGTGCACCCTGGCTCTGTTCTGAGTACCAAATAGATATCTTAGGACTCTGGGCTGCCCTTGCCTGGATTCAGGATTCCCTCCTTTCCCTGAGAAACAACCATCGCCCCCTTCATTCTCTCCCCTTTCCAGTCCAGTCTCCTATTTCCAGTTCAGTAATCTATATTGGGAGTTGGTGATGGACAGGGAAGCCTGGCGTGCTGCAGTCCATGGGGTTGCAAAGAGTTGGACACGACTGAACTGAACTGAATCTATATAAAAACGGTACTTTCCAAATCAGAACTGAAATTACCTGGTAGGGGGATGGGGTGAGGGGCAAGATACAGATTTATAGATCCCCATCCACAGAAATTCCAATTCAGTAGGGTTTAAATGCCTGTAGTCCCAGGGATGGCAGAGCCTGGTGGGTTGCCATCTGTGGGGTCACACAGAGTCGGACATGACTGAAGTGACTTAACAGCAGCCATCTGGTTTACTCTTGGACTGTACATTTACATAAACACATAAATTATCCTTTTTTCCCCCCTTAAACCTGTTTTAGTCAGATTTTTGGTTGCTTGCAACCCAGAGTATTTATAATGATACTTTCCTGTCAACACTGTTTTTATATTTGCTAATCTTTGCAAACATCTTGAGAGGAGAGAGACAGAGAGACAGAGGCCGAGAGCGTTTCCATCTTTGGTACCTGACACACAGCAAATCATCCAAAACTTTTGAATGAGTCTTAACTTTCCTCAATACAATGATCATTTTCTCACCTGGAGGACATTGCATAGGTAACCTCAGTCATTTGAAACTTAACTAGACACCAGGATGTAGACAACTGTTCCCAAATAAGCCAGTGTAATTTTTATAACATCTGTTCATAAGAGCACATGCAGCTTATGTCTAAGATTCTCTCATATGTGCTATATTCTCTTAACCCAGATGTAAATCTAACAATATTGTTTTTCTATCACAGGTGTTGATCTTTGGCCAAGTTAAAAAAAAAAAAAAGGTGCTAAAGGCAGGTTCATTGGGTGGAGCGGCAGAAAGTAGTGACGAGGAGGGGGCTGCCCTGTTCCTCAGACCCAGGTTCTTTCTATAGGGTGCTGTCCGTCTTTCTGCAGAAGCATGAATGTGAAAAGGGGGAAGAGGAAGTTGCGGGCACTGCTTTAGGGAAACGATGTGGATATGGCTTACATGACATCTACTCCCGTTCTGCAGGTGAAATGGAAGTTACACAGTCACATCAGCTACCAGGAAGCCTGGGAATACTGTCTTTAGCAGGAAAGGCATGAACACCCTCTACTAAAGCTCAGTGGGGGCTTTTAGTCTACTACTAAAAGAAGGATGGGAGAATGAGTCCTGGGAACTAGTGACTACTACTAGTCTGGATATAATATTCATTTTATAGGAAAGTGCTTGCAATGGAGTGGATGCTCAGAAACTGTTCACAATTATTACTGGCAGGTGTGGCTTCCCTCTCTGGTTTCCTGGCGTCTTGCTTACTTTTAGAGCTGAACATAGGATTACAGGGGCCAGATTCAGAGCTATGGACATGTTTCAGAACTTTTTCAGCTCCATACTACTCTGACTTCCTTAGCAAACCAGACCTGTGGTCCCTTGGTCTGATACTGCACTAGATAGAACTAATGAGTCTCTATAAAATTTGTCTGTCTCTTTGCCTTCACATCCCATGTACTGTCTCCTGTCAGAAGTTGTGGTTGTGATGCCATCCCTGGGGTGGAAGGAAAGGAGTCCCATTCCCATCCTCCCTGGCCAAGGCTTCCATATTCCCAGTGCACTTAGGACCTATACTCTTTCATTCTGATCTCAGAGTTTGCATATCTATCTGTTGCTCTACAGTACTATATTGAGTTCTTTGAGGAGTGGAACCACCATTTATGATTCTTTGCATCTCCAGTACCTAGGACAGTACCTAACACCAAGAACACAGTTCAGTCTGATGAATTAAATAAAACGTATATGAATCAAATTTGTGCATACCCTTCTAAGAACTGGACTTGTTAAAAACAAATTTGGTGCGTTGGTAAAAGGGTGTCAAAGCAGCTTAGGGTTTTAGTTCAGTTGACTGTCTCAAAGCAAGATGACTTGTCTTTTGTAAACAGATTTTTAATGACCCTACCTATGGGTTTTCTAAAAAATGAAGGTGCATTAAAATTCATTATTTTTCAGCTAATCCCATTGCTTCACAAATAGATAATATTATATGCAACATTTTATGAATGTTGCGAACTCTTTAACTCACATGGCTGCCAGGAATATTTAGAGATACCCCAACTCTGTTGTTTACATAAGAAGGGGATGGTGATGAACGTTTATTTCCCCCTTGTCCTCATCCTCACCACTCTGCCTACAGGCCCTGCATCGGGATCTTTGCTCAGGCAGTTTCTTCTGCTCCCAGCACCTGCCTGTTAAAGCCTTGTCCTTCAGCTTCGCTCAAACACCACATTCTCTGGCAAGTGTTCTCAGATTGCTCTACCTGCAGCAGCTTGCCTCTCATCCACATGCTCCCAAATCCCCAAATTCCTCTCCTCTTGCACTTTTACAGTCCGTTTCTCTTAAAGTGATTCACTTAGGTGCTCTCCCTCTCTGAGCCTCAAAGGAAGCTCCTACCAAAGCTGTAAAAGCGACAGCCTTGCATTGAGACAGTCCAGACATCACCAGGGATGAGCTTGCGCGACCTTGGGCATTTTATGTGACCTCTTTGAGTGCATGCTAAGTTGCTTCTTCACCAGCTGAGCCACAGGGAAGCCCCTTGTGGCTCAGATGGTAAAGAATCCGCCTGCAGTGTGGGAGACTTGGGTTCAATCCCTGGGTTGGGAAGATCCCCTGGAGAAGGGAAAGGCCACCCACTCCAGTATTCTGGCCTGGAGAATTCCGTGGACTGTGTAGTCCATGGGATCACAAAGAGTTGGACATGACTGAGCCACTTTTGCTTTCTTAAGTTGCTTCAGTTGTGTCCAACTCTTTGCAACTCTATGGATCATAGCCTGCCAGGCTCCTCCAGCAAAAGGGATTCTCCAGGCCAGCATT